AGAGAGAGAGAGCTTCTCCATATCTGTATATATGTATACACCTTCGTATCTACCCCGCGGTGTCTTCTCTTCTCTCTTCCTCGCTAAGTCAGATCGCCCACAGGCTCCATGAGCCGTCGTTATTATATGTTATCGCCATGGAAGGTATGGGAACCGGCCCGAGGGGTACCAGGTACCAACCTCGGTATTTCCCCCTCGTTGTACCATAACGCACAACGGCGAGATACACGGAGAGGAGAACCGATTCTCTCTCTTTCTTGTCGCACCATGATCCTCAGAATCAACCGTCATACATCCGTCCCTTTCCTTATTACAATCCCCCTCCTCCCTCCCTCTTTCCTCTCCTCTGAGTTCCTCTTCTTTCACCATGTCCTTTTCCCAGAGCATTCGTCTATTATATGCTAAATTACGACGACCTTCGGCTGCGCACGCAGAACACGACACCGCTTATGGCACGTCCGTGAGCACATACGAGCAAACGCGTGCGTGAAGCTGATTGACACCGATTCCATCAGTGTGATTTGTTCACGGGGTCGTGGCATTATTAACCCTTTGCGGGTACAACAGGATGTTGGGTAATTCCTGCATATGGAGAATTTTAATTTTACATAAAATGTACAGGTCGAAGACGTGAAAAATTAATCGACCTTCGTCATTAATGGTAATAGAATAGCAAGCATTAGAAAAGTTAAAAATATAATAAAATAAAAAAATATCGTAAAATTTAAGAAAGATGAAATTAATTTTTCAATATTAAATCGATAGAATTAAATTAAAATGATTGTTTAAACTATAAATAAACAAATTCTAAATGTAATACAGATATCAATTTTTTTATGAAATTTGTAATATTCCAGGTCGTGGTTAATAAAAATATTTTCAGACACTTAATTAAATTTATCTCCCTGTATAAAAAGATAAGAGTTATAATTCTCCCTTGCCTTCTTCTCTTTTGTACCTTCGTTGCTTTAATTTATAGCGAAATTAAATGCGTAATGAAATGTTACATTATCCTTATTATCCTCGAGATATAATTATGAGGCGCGAGAAAGGGGTATCTTAACGGCAACGGTAGCGTAAAGATATGTAAAGATATGTAATAAGAAGATTAGCTGCAGCCTACTTTGAACGATGCTGCATTCGCGGACATGTTGTGAAACACGTTCGAAAATGTCACGGGCACTTTCTAAAGAAGCCGGAAAAAGTGATACATACATGGTGCATGGACTTGCTGCTACAAGATGCATACGTACACGCGTGTATCTGCATATCCGCTAAAGTAGATTTCATACAGGTAAATGTCTTGTGCTAATCTGCGAGTCTACCGTTCTCTCATTCACGCGTGACAATTCCAGTACAATCCTACCTCACATCTCTTCTCTATTTCGTTGCTTTCTTTCAATAACGAATGACACTAAATCGGATTAAATTGAATCCTTTCAATAAATGGCCGGTTAATGGATTTTATTAATGACTAAAATTCTTTCTGACTGGAAATATTATTTTTATCCCATATTCGCGCGCACTTCTATCCATACGAATATCTAATGTCTATTTTTTGAGTATCTTAATATCCTACGATATTCAAAATTCTATATATTTATTAGAATATTTATTTTATATTGGTTTTCTTATTGAGAGAAAGTTCTATATAAAAATATATTGTTATGAAAATTATCTATAAAACATAAAAACATTTTTAATTCAAAATAATTATTTTGTTATCATATACTTATACTATATACTTATCAATATACTTCTCAAGTCTTCGCAATATACATAATTTATTGAATTTAATTAAATAGTGTGCGTTAAATTGGAAATTTATTAAATGAACAGCTGCATATACGTAACCACCATTTACTGAAACTATGTACAGCTACCTGAAGCGATTTTGGCAGGTGACTAAAGTGTCAGCACCTGCCCACACTTAATAAACAGTTAACCGATAGAAAGCGCAATTTCCAGTCGTTACATTGAATATGCAATCCATATACATCGAATTCTTAATTCTGATAATTCCATTTTTTTAAAGTGAATCAATTATTATTACATATATATATATATATATATATATATATATATATATACGACAGTCATATAAGATGTACAATATATTTTCCGAAGTTGAAATTTTATAATGGAACGCAATTAATCGAACAGTTTCTCTCATGAGTTTTCTCTCATTTCCTCATTTACTTGCACTCCCAGCCAATAATCAATGATCGATGGTTATAAAATACGAAAGTTTCAGCTTTCACATGTGACAATTTTATTTAAAAAAAAAAACATCTTGGAATTTTTTCAGATATCCGGAATCCAGACTAGCGAAATTGTTTAACGGGAGCATCCCCATTGTTCTGGACTCGCTAAAACAGCACTATTTCATCGATAGAGACGGCGGCATGTTTCGGCACATACTGAATTTTATGCGAAATTCCCGGCTGCTGATACCCGACAACTTCGCCGACCTAGATTTACTGCTAGAGGAAGCACGATACTTCGATATTGCGCGTAAATTGCCTTACCTCCACTTATTCTTTTATAATTTTAATGTCTTGCAGTTGAACTGTTTACAATGTAATGAGAAAGATATGGAAATAGGACTTCAATTCATTCAATCTTGTAAAAAAAAACAAGGCTGTGACCGCTTTAAAACATATCTTTCGTTATTAATATAAATCGCGATATAATGATATATCATTCCATCCTAATTCTCTTGACCGACTTCCAAACAGCCTACGCTCAATACTCAGCTGTAATGGAATAATAATAAAGAACTCTGAAGTAGCGATCAAGATAGTGATTTATTCGATTACAGAAATAATATAGAGCTCAATATTATCAAACGACAGAAGTAAGATGATGAAAATTACTCTCTCGGGGTGCTAATCAGTATATGTACATTTCAATAAAAATCAAATATTTAACAAAATTTTCTCAAATATTTTAATTTATTAAACTTCTTTTTATCAAAATAGAAGAAATAAAATTTTATGAAATTTCCATAATCTAGTTTACTGATGTTGTAAAATACAATTACGTACAATTACATTTTCATAATCGATAAATTCATCGTTCGAAACAAGATTATTCTTTTCGCAGGCAACTGGAGCAGAATACTCTCCTCGGACGTAACGTATTTCTTTTTTTTCTTTCAGCCATGTGTAGGCAACTGGAGCAGATGAAGAAGGAGCGCATAAAAAACGGTTCGACAACGACAATGACCACGAGCTCGCCGAGTCCCCCGCCCACCGGTCAGCTCGGCGGTCGCGGCACCGCCTGCACCACCGCACCCTGCAACCGTGATCCTGAAAAAATACGCGGCAACGACGGCAATTGCAGCTACGAATGCGTGGCGTTACACGTAAGCCCGGATCTGGGCGAACGAGTGATGCTGTCGGGCGGACGTGCGCTCCTGGATGAGGTGTTTCCGGAAACGACGCAGGCGGTGATCGATGCGCGATCCGGGGTTGCCTGGCACCAGCAGGACGCCCGTCACGTCATCCGGTTCCCGTTGAACGGCTACTGCAAATTGAACTCCGTTCAAGCGATCACGAGACTGCTGAACGCCGGCTTCCGGGTGGTCGCGAGCAATGGCGGCGGCGTCGAGGGCCAACAATTCTCGGAGTACCTGTTCGTCAGGCAGGCCGTCAACACTTGACGGAGCACGGCGCATCAGCGCAAAACGATCTCCAAGTCGATCCGTTGCCTGCAACGCGACTACGACTTGGAGTGAGTGCAACTGTCCACAGGAGAACGCCTCAAGACTGCATCGCGGATAATTTGATTATTCAGACAGAACAAAACGGAGTATCTTGGTATAGGGACAGCTGGCTGGCAAGCGCAAGTCTGATGCCGAAATATTTATAACGAGTACGAAGATCTCGTAACGTACGTTAAACGTTCTCGACGTCTCTTGCGTCAGGTATCTTGAATCACGTAGAAGTGAATAAGTGAATAAGTGCGAATAAGTTTTGCAATTGACGTCAATGTATGTTTATCAAACAGCAATAGTCTGTTTTGTACGTACACATAAGTTACAAGAGTTATTTGCATATATATCTGACGTTATAATTTGAAATGGCTGTTATTGAAGGTATTTCATCGATCATTTTAGCAATAACGAGATTATAAAATCGCTACACATATTGCAAATAAAGTTAATTACAGACTATTTTAAATTTTGTAATAATAAATTTTTAATAATCTACAGTATACAATTTGAAAAGCCGATTTTTAGTAACAAATTTGACGGCAATTACAATTATTGGTATAGTTCGAAATATTCGTCAAAAAATATATATATATTATGTGTATATATAATTATTATATTTTTATACATGATATAGTAATTATATATAATTACTATAAATGTATATTTTATGTAATTACATATATAAAAATTATATATGCATGATAATATATATACGTATATATTGAGTTTTATAAATTTATAAAAAATTTATACAATTATTATAAACTGTTTTTGAAGGATCGTTCAAGTATGCGGCATTTACCTGCAGTTGCAATGATTGTGAAACATTATGATGACATTACGATTTCTTGCTTAGACATGACTCAAGCGGATCGTTGTTAATCGTGAAAAAATATTGAATAAATTATTGCAAATATTTTTTAAAATAAGTATATAATTAAATATATAGATAGTTAAGTATATAGATTTTATTTGACTCGATATGCTTTGTGATAATGATGATCGCACTGAGTCACGTCTAAAAAGTTAACGGCAAGTCAACGGCGTATAACGAGCCTAATAATGGCAACGATGTATCGTATGACAGCGAAAGCCTAAGCCACAATATTAATCGTATATACAGTACTCCATATCCTTTTCTCCCATTCATTGTAAAAATGCACATGTCACAAAACAAGAGATGTAGCTATTACGCAACTTGAAAAACTGAATCAACAATATGTCATACTGTCTTCTGCATGCTTTTAACGCTATTAGGAATGGAACGCGCAATTATAAACATCGTTGTCCATTCCTCGTGTTACGATCTGCGATTTGCGTTTGGGAATATCAGATGCGCCGATTTTTAACATTGTTATTATTTAATAAAGTGTACCTATATGTATTTAAATGCCATACTAATTACTGTAAATACCGCGAATAAACGTGTATATACATACACATGTAGACCTAAATATACCAATCTACAAATGTAGCATAAACACGAATATGCTTAAAATCATATGTTATTTAAGAAAGAGCGTTAAAGACAACGAAACGAAACACACGTCATATTAAAAATCAGTTTAATTAAAGTCTTCATCAAAATGATCAAATTATAATTCATTATGAAGACGAAAGGATAACAGAAAAATATTAAGTTCTCTCGAGATAAACATTGATAAAGTTATACGTGCTCTTTAAACAACATTGCTTATTAAGAATTAATGAGCGAACTATATTAACTGCTAAGAAATCTTATAAGCATGATTACAACTGATTTAATAAAATATTTATTTTACATTTCAGGAAAACACAATGATCTTATTGTTTCACTCGCATACTCCTTCAACATTCAAGGTGAAATTAATAATGATAAATATATGTTAGTATCATTTTTTTCCAACGCGCAATTCATACTTCATGAATAGTCAATTCATCAATTATCATTATTCATGTTCCGATTGAACGTAACAATATCGCTAACAAAATGATTCAGACTTTTTTCTAGAATATAGACAATAGCTACGCAAGTCGAGAAACGAATAAAAATACAGACTGCAAAATTATTGTCACTCGCAATCAATTCTCGATTGCCATGGACGTTGCATCGTGCCCGAAGCAAAAGAATTTTGGCCAGTACAATAAAATTATTGTTGAATAAAATTGCTAGCATAACGTGAGGATCAGAAAAATTTATTATTAGATATAACAGGATTTTTAATTCTTAATCAGCATAATTACTCCTCTATCCAATAATAAATTTCTAATTGTCGAATAAAAAAATTTTAAAAATTTTGAAAAACAAAAATAAAATCTCAAAAAATATATGTATATATATATATATATATATATATATATATATATAATAATTAA